CTTACTTTTTCAGGATTGGTCATGGGGAAGGCTTCAGTTTGGCAGGGGAGAGAATGGTTGTATGACACAAAAAGCTGGGGAGAAGCTCCTTCTCCCATGATCAGCGTTTCCTGTGTGGTGCCTTTGGGCCAGTCCACTGGGAGCTGATCTCTAGCTGGGTAGTCATATTCATCGAGCCCCTCTAGGAAGGCGGGAGCCCGTCCTTCGGCTTGGGAGTGAGGCAAGGATGGTCAAAGCAGACCTGTTTTCGGCCTCTGTGGGTCATCCCCTGCCTGGGCCACTCTGCCGACAGCTGCTATGGGGGTGGGGCGCAGCACTCAATGCCCAGTTCTAGAGGCCTGAGCCCCAGCCAAGAAATGGAGGCGGACACGCGACAGTCTCAGCAGCCCAAGGCTCCAGTCTGTCACTCAATTTCTGAACTGTCACGTCTTGCTGGCTCTGGGCTGGCTGTGTGTGTGTGTGTTTTGACGAGGGTTACAGCTGGGGGCTGGGGAGGAGGGGGTTCGTGAAACTTCAGGGAAATGGGAAATTGAAAGAGACCGGCCGGGGAGTCCAGCAGCCCAGCTGTGAGGTGGAGGGAAGGATCCCGCTGGGGCCAGCCTGCTGTCACCAGATGAGGACAGAGCAGGGGCACCGAGGCAGAAAGGTTAGGACACGAGCTCTGAAAGCAGAAAGCCTGGATTTGAGCGCCAGCCTTGTCACTTAGCCCTCTGGCCCTACAGGAGTTACTTAGCTTTTCGGAGCCTGCGTTTCAGCCTTGGTAAAATGGCGATAATGATGTCGTCCCCCCCAACCCCCCAGCCGGTAGTTTTTCGATTTATGCAATATTGTACAAAAGAGCGTCATGGCACGTGCCCGTGAGCCGTTCAGATAGGGACTGAGGGCTTGACAGAGGCTGGTGCTCAGACCCTATTTGATTTTTTAAATTGCACAAAACTTCCTCTCTCTGTGGCCCAGAGTGAGTGAGTAACAGGGCAGAGTGCCCAGAGGCGGAATCCGGCTTGTGGTCATCCCCCCGGGGCCTGGGCAGAGACGCTCGCCCAGCCGTGCGCAGAGCCGTCGGGATCTATAAGGCCTAGGAAAGCAGATACCTGTTCTCCCCTTTTCAAGCCCCCCATAGCGGGCCGGAGAGTGATGAGCCCGAGGCTCAGATACGACCAATAACCGGGTAATTGCCTTCCCTCCCTGCCTCGGTTCACGTCCTTCCTGTCCAGCCCTCAGCCACAGGTCACAGGACTTCGCAGAGACACTCCTGTGGTTTCTTCAGTGAAATTGGTCACTGCATGGCCCTCACCCTACCCCTCTGGGCTGAGGTTTTGGGTCTTCGCCCAGTGAACAGAAATAAGTCCCTTGAGGGCTGTGAAGCGCTCAGTGGTGCCTGAGGGACCGACAGGGCGAAAACCAGAGGGCTTGGGGCCGCGGGGGGCGGGGGGCCTGCGGGGGCTTCCTCTTGGGCTCTCGGCGCCTGTAAGCTCCATCAGAGCAGGCAGCAGAGCGCCCCCCACTTCCTGTCCCAGCCCAGCCCCAGGGTGAGGCAGAAGGGGGAAAGCTGAGACAAATCGGCTCCAGGGAGGAAGAGCAAGTGTCTCTCCTGGGAGGCTCCCCACCAGGCCCCGGACCACCCGCCGGTCCTGTCCTCGGAGCGCTGGACCTGGCCTGATGCTCCTGACCCCGCGGGCACCCTCTGTCCCCTCAGCCGCACTGGGAGAGCCTCAGCTCTGCTACATCCTGGACGCCATCCTGTTTCTGTACGGTATCGTCCTCACCCTGCTCTACTGCAGACTTAAGGTGAGGTAGGGGAGGGGCTGGCGGGAGGCCTGGGAGGGCCCGGCTTGGCTTTGAGGAGAGGGACTGACAGGGGTCCCCCGCAAAGGTGGGAAGGATGGGGCTGGGCCGCTCACTTGGCCTTTACTGACTACCTCTCCCACCCCCCCCCACCGGCTCCAGATCCAGGTGCGGAAGGCAGCTATAGCCAGCTACGAGGTATGGCCCCTTCTGCGCCTGGGGGTCAAGGCTCCAGACGCCAAGCTTCCCAGGTCCCCTCCCACTTCCCCCTACCCACCCCGCCGCCTGGCCAAGTCACAAGTAAAATACTCAGCCGGCGACGAGGGAGAGTGGGCAGTGACACTGAGTGCGTGAGGGTCGTACGCGGTGTGTGTGTGGGCGCATCTGCAGCCACGCGGGCAAACGGACGTTCATGCCCCGGAGCCCCCAGGTGCCCTCTAGCCCGAGCGGCCAGCCAGCCCTGGCCACAGACCTCACCGGGTGGGGAAGAAGAGGCCGAGGGACCCCGCAGGAGGCGTGGGTGTCTAATGCCTTGTCCCTTTTGCCTCCGCAGAAATCAGATGGCATTTACACAGTGAGTGAACCTGCCCTTCCCCCCCCCCCCCCCCCCCCCCCCAGTGCTGGGAAGTCAGCAGAAGAGGGTGGGGTTTTGTGTGATCTTTGGAAGACATGGGGGTCTATGGGGGTGGGTGGGAGCCCTGTGATGGGCTCAAGCTCCTGACCATCCTCTGACCTCCACCTCCAGGGCCTGAGCACCCGGAACCAGGAGACTTATGAGACCCTAAAGCATGAGAAACCACCCCAGTAACTTTAGAACAGATGCCCTTGGCCACCTCCTTCCCCTCCTCGTTCTCCTCCTGGCCCTCAGGTCGGCGTCTCCTTTGCCTCCCGTTAAAGCCAGCGGGCCACCTCTTTAATGATGCTATGTCCCCCATTACCGCGCACCCAGTGGTTCTTCCTCCCCACGAAGACCTCCGTTCAGATGCTAATCATTAATGTTTATATTCTAATCTCACCGCCTTTCCCCACCCTTCTCTTTCCCGGCTCCCACTCCCACTCAACAATGGAAAGAGTACCACCAATAAAGCCGCCGCAGCCTGGACTCTATTCATTTACCATATATTTATTCAGCCCCTACTAGGCGCTAGGCTGGGGACCGAAGATGCCGTTTTGAGTAACCAGCCCCCGACCGCACAGAGCTCACAGTCTGGTGGACGTTGGGGCGAGGTTGCTCGCTCAAGGGGTGAAAGCTGACCGTGGCTGGGGCAGGGATGAGACCCTCGGCCCCAGGTCCGCTGGCATGGAGCTGGAACAGGGAGGGAGGTGTCGGGAGTCTAGGCACGTTCAGAAACATCGGAACCTAAGAAATGACATCTGCACCCAGCTTGGCTTTCCGTGTCCGGCAACTGAACCACGGTTGGGTCGTGGAGTAGCCTGGCTGTGCAACCCCAAACGGTCACCAATCCGGATCAGAGTGAGCTTCAGGGAGCAGCGTGGGGACAGCTCCCCACACGCACGCATCTGGGCATGAGCACAGCTGGGAAGCCAAACATGCAGAGCGGATGGCCCGATGAAGCCTCGTGTGACACCCCTGATGGAAGGGTTTATGGGAACAGTGAGTTTCAGTGGGTTCTGGGGCAAGAGGGACCTTAGAGGGCCAGGTAAGTGTTGGAGGTGGGTAGGGCAAAGGGGAGCAATGGGGGTCTAGATGGGAGGTCAGTTCCTCCGAGTGCCCGGGTGGGTGGCTAAGGAATCGCTGTGGTCAGGTCCGTGCTGGTCCTGTTTCCGGCTCCGCCAGGAGGCAGCATTTCCTGGAGTATCTGCATCCCATCAGATGCCGCAGGTCCTACCTCCGACCCAGCAGCCGGGGCAGAATGGGTTTCGGGTCCCCGGGCCAACCCCTGGCCCCACCCGTGCTGGGTAAGACTCAGCACTGCACAGCGACTTACACCGTCCACTATGGTTCCCGGCTCTCTTGCACTGTTGGATCTGCTCACTGACCCCGGGAGGAAGATCCAGTTCTTTGAAGTTAATTAACCTGTCCAAGGGCATCTCGCAAAGGACAAACTGAGCTCTTTTTGTCCCCACACATCTTGCCGCGTGAGAGAAAAACAGAAACTAGGGAAGAAACTTGTCACCATGAGTGGTGAGGGCCCTGAAGGCGAGACTGAAGACTGATGAATACACGGAAGGAATTGGAGCCATGTCTGGTGTCTGGGAAGCAGTGATTTCAGATGAGCTATGAGAAATGAGCCAGGGAGGTAACTGCTTTAAGTGTGAAGTGGGAACAAACTTTTATTGGAAGATGCCTCCTCTTCCTTGAGCTCCACTTTGGTATTGTGAGTCTCCCACATCGGCCCAGCCTGATTTCCACTCCATTTTGATTTAATCCAGGAGACCTGTCTGGCCCCTAGCTGGCCTCATGTCTACGAGTTCCAGATCTGACCACCCGGCCAGTTCTGTGACTAGCACCCAGATAATGGGGGGAGAGGTTTGGAATGGGTGTTCCCCAGAAAGGGGGTCTAGGTGAGAGATTTTATTTTATTTTATTTTTTAAAGATTTATTTGTTTATTTGAGAGAGCGAGAATGAGAGAGAGAGAGAGAGTACATGAGAGGGGGGAGGGCCAGAGGGAGAAGCAGGCTCCTCGCCGAGCAGGGAGCCCGATGCGGGACTCGATCCCGGGACTCCGGGATCATGACCTGAGCCGAAGGCAGTTGCTTAACCAACTGAGCCACCCAGGCGCCCTAGGTGAGAGATTTTAAATGGAAGGAGGGTTTGAGCACTTTTGGGGAAGAAGAATGAATCTGTATCTTTTCTGTAGGATGGGGGGAAGCATGGTATTTCCCCGGCTCAGAAGGGAAGCCAGGGTCTCGGCTGACACCTCTGGGTTCATTTATGGGAAGCCTTCTCCTCTTCATAGAAGGATCAAGAGGAAGTTCTGGGGGAGGCGGTGCCCTCCTTTCCTGTGACCTCCAGTAGTCTAGGGGCTCAGTTTGTGAAACTTTCCTGCCGTTCACTGTCCCTTGTGCAGTGCAGAGAGACTAAGCCTCTGCTGCAGAGCAGATCCCAGGCTGGGGGAAGATGTGTCGGCCATGGAGAAGAATCACAGACACCACTTCCCCGTTGCTTCCACCATCTGTCTCTTCATCCCTCCCTCCACTCCTCACACCAAACCCCTCTCCTAGCAGGAGCAGCCTCTCGGTCCTCCCCTCACCCATACCCCTACTTCTCCCAGTCCCCAAAGCACCAGGCTCACACCTGACTCCTTCAATATTTATTGTAGAAAACAAGGAGCATGTTGGGAGAGGGCTCCAGACCTGGCCAGTGGGTGTTCTAGGGGCCAGCAGGGGATGGAAGACAATGGTCTGGACACCTCACTGGGTGGCAGGCTGTGTTCTGAGGTCCATGAAATTGCTCAAGAAGTTGATCAGATCAGTTCCGGCCTTCTTGACCAGGGGCGTTAGCTGCTCCTGTGTCTTCTCAAAGTAAGCCCTGTATGTTCAAAGGATTAGAGGTCAGTTCGAGAGACCGTAGGCGCTGCCAGGGGCCTCGTTGCTCGTGGGAGGTGAGACCCAGCTCCCCAAACTCTAGGGCCTGGTCCATCCTGGCATGGCAATGCTCCCAGGAGGGGAGGCAAGCCCTCCATTGAGTAGAGGAACAGATTCTAGAGAGAGAAATTCAAAGCCTAGTTCCTGCTGGCCCTCTCTGTCCAAGAGGTCCCTGGGATCTACAAGGTGGTGAAGGAATTATTCTCTCCAACTTAAACCTCACCCTCTCTAACTCTCACACTTGAGCTCCATCTTCTGTGCAACCTCCCATCTTCTCTTCTCTCTCTCTATAGCTCCCTGGTTCCTGAACCCCTTCCTTCCTTCCTTCCTTCCTTCCT